GTTTTCTTCACAACATTTACCTTTGGATCATACACCACCAAAGCACTATCTTCTCGTGCTTTGGCTTGCACTGCATTCAATCCTTTTTCATCTACATTTTTCTGATTCCCCTGAACAGGTCTGTTCGAGAGATTTTTGTGGGTATTTGGTAACCGAGTTACCCGACCTCAGGTCGATCTCAAGGAAGGTCGTTCGGAGCTTTGTTTTTTTTTTTATTTAATTGTCTAAATACAAAAATGAGAAAATAAACCTAAACATTCTACTCCATTTTGATGAGGTTTTATAATTAACTAAAATTCTTAATTTAATTTAACAAACATAAAATGAAAAGAATAGTAAATAAACAACAATAAAATAATAAACACGGCAAATGGATAAAAAGAATAAAGATGAGGAAAGTGTTAGGGAATCGGGAAATAATTGTATCAATTCTAATGATAACTTCGAATTGTTAATCATTCGGTTAAATGATTCGATAAACACACGAATTTAGAGGTTTATATTCCATTCAGTTACGAGTAAGAATATAAACATAAATCAATGTATTCGCGTACCACTTAACATATAAGTAATACAGTTACGTGTAAACTTATTTATTTCGAGCCGTGATCAATCAACTTCGCCATTTTCGGGTTAAAAGTCGATTAAGTAGATTGAAAAGAATGTTTAGTTCTACTTAAATCATAAAAATAAATATAACTCGAAATAATAGGAACAATCAACAATTCGTCATCATCATCGAACCGACACAATCATTTTTCTATCCCTAACGAAGGGATTAGTTCATCATGATTTTATTGACACAAATAATAAGAATAATCCAAGCTATCGTTTTACTCATATAAACTTTCGAACGATAACTTACGATTACGATTAAAACTTGACGTCAATATATCACTTAGAACTTTTAAGAAAATGAAAATAAACAACTTACAAGATTAAAACCAAGCTTTCATGCAAAGATCAACCTTGAAGAATATCAAGAACACTAAGAACACTCTTGGAAATATTTACATAGAAAAGAAAAGAAAAGTGAAGTTGTGAAATAAGTGAAAGAGAAGAGAGTATTTATAGGAAAAAAATAGAAAACTTGTAATATAAGAAAAGAAAAATGTGGAAAAGATGATAGGAAAAATGGGAAAGAAGATGGGAAAAATAGGAAAGAAAAAATGTAAGAAAAGGTGAAAGAAGATAGGAAATTTGAGAGAAGATTTGGAATTTTCGGACAAAAACCGAAAGTGATTTTTCCGCGCGCATTCGCGCACGTCTCGGGCGGCATTGCTTCTCGGGCTCGTTTTGGGCTCGTCCGAACTCGTAATTGAGTGCCTTTTTTTCTATGCGTCGCTAACGAACCTCTCTATTCAATGATGTATGCCAATACAAATTTCTCCCAGAATACAATTATTTAGGG